CAATGTGGTTGCCTCCAACTCAGGTTGATGGGAGTTGTAGTGAAACATTTATGGAAGGCTATCAAGTTACAAAAAGCTGGTCTATTCTTGATTGTAATGGCTTGAGGAAGGTTTTTTTCCCTCCCTCCTTATTTTCATTGAAGGTAACGGTCCTGCATAATTCTACCACTAAGATCTGGTTAGTTTGTAAGACTGGCTTGAATTAAGTCTCCATGCATTTCTTCATCAGTTTATATTTGTTTATTTATTCATTTTGTTTTTGCATGCCTCAATCAAGAGACCCTTGGCAGTGGCAATCAAAACAATAAAAAGTTCCCGTCACCATTAAAATGAGCTAAGAATAAAGAATAAGCCAAAAATTAAACCACAGATCACATAAAAAAATCAACCAACCCCAAAGCAATGAAAATAGAGGGTGACTCCTGTATGTTTAGTTTATTAATTTACAGCCACAATCCAAAAATAAAGATTTCTATACATTATATGAGAAGAAGTAGGTAGGTAGGTAGGTAGACAGACAGACAGACAGACAGATAGATGATAGATATTCAGTGTCCTTAACCAGCATAAGAATCAAATACGCACAGATACATACAAACTAATTTCTATTTCTATTCTGTTTTTACATAGATGCCTGTACAGCAAGGATCCTCGTAAACCAGTGTTTCTCAACCTTGGCAACTTGAAGTTGTGTGGAATTCAACTCCCAGAATTCCTCAGCCAGCATGAAGTTCACACACCCTAAAGTTGTTCAGGTTGAGAAACACAGTCTTAAACCATTCGGTTTTTAATGATGTCATGCTGCCTAACAAGACATTGATCTGTTTTCAAGGGGCAGGGTGTTCCCTAAGATTGGAGTCACCATAGAGAAATATTCGAGGGCTTCCCTGCCCCTAATGTCATGGAAGTGGGGGGCTAGTAATAGATTCTGGGTTCTTGAATTATGATAAGAACGATAAGGTGAAACTTTGCTTAGAACAAAGAAACACATTTCTTCCCCATACTACCTATACAGATTTTTCTTTTCCACTTTGTTGACATATTATCAGTTTCCTTTCGTTGATAGGAGAAGGTCCTTCATATATATATATAAACTATATATATATAGTTTATGGAGACATCTTCACATTTTTTCCCCAGGATGTGGTGAAACTTGCCACCTTCCCAACTTACAGCCAGTGGTGATTGAATGAAGGTCGAGGTAGCTGTTTTTCCACTCACTGGTTCTTGAAAGGAAATAGCTTTCCTGTTTCAAATATTAAATCAGAGAGCAGAAGCAACGCCTCACAAACAATTTGTAAAGGCAATTGAGAGGGCAGAAAATTACTGTTGTGGTAAACCTGTTCTGCCTTGAAACATCTTATGATGGTTGACGTTCTTTCCTTGCTTGACTTAGACGTGGAAATATACAGTACATGTACTCCCCCCCCCCCAACAGGACTCCCTGAAACATCAAAGAACTGTTGCTGGCCAGATTTAATATAAAGGTTTCCTAAATAATAATGAACAAGTGTTAGGGCTTGCTCAGCAGTTTATTTATTCAGTCTATGGCTATAGCGCATTCTTATATTGAAGAATCTCGGGATAGTTCCACATGAAGTGCCATGCAAATTTACAGGAGAAAAATAAACTCCAGCAGATAACAGGGCTGTAAACGAAAAGCCTTTGATAGTATGTGCAACAGAGAAAGGATAAAGAAAAGGGAAGGAATCGTTCACATATAACATTCACGCAGAGAAAAAATAGGATGAAGAGATGGTCTTCAACCCACATGTTGCAAGGCCCTCCATGAATATCAGTAGAGAGGGAATCCTAGAGTTTTGATACCACCAAAAAGAAGGACATTTTCTGTAAGAATCCATAACATAAGCACACTGTTTTCTTGGAGAACAATATAGGACAGCAGTACAGAAGGTCACCCCTTTAATTCAGTTGTATCTCTAGAAATGGAATGCCTTGGTCAAACGTTAGACTTTCTGCGGAGGGTGACCAGCGGTGTAGAACAGAAGGACCATTGGCAGATTGTCTATGAGCTGGCTATTTAGAGCTCATAGAAGTACACCATGTGTTCCTCCAAATGGTGGTATGATTGGAAAATGACAGATTGATTCAATATTCCTCTATTTAAGCCTTTTCTTCTTTCAACTATGCATGGAGTCTGCGACTGTAAATAATGCCATGGGTTTTTCAGTGCTCTAGCTCAAGGTTTTTCAAACTGTGTTGCATGGAACTGTAGGGCTTCATGCGAAGTAGATGGAGCTGTGAGAAACTGTAGAAAAACAAGTTCATTTGAATGCAGCCGATTTTCTATAATTAGAGTTTTGCTTCTTGATCGGGGGTTCCATGATTTTATTTTATTTTTAACTAATAGGATCTATGGTCTGAAAAAGTTTGACAACACCTGCTCTAGTCCTTCCTATAGATTAGCTTTCCCCAGGTTGGAGCCCTCCAGATATTGTGGGATTAGAACTCTCAGGATTCGCAGCTAGCTTGGTCATGGTGGTTGGGAATTCTGGGAGCTGTAGTCCCTACAAATCTGGAGAGCAGTAAATCAATGGGAAACAATCAACAATGAAATGATTTTTGACAACAACAATAATGTGTTTACTTTGAACATGTTAGGTAACCTTTTGCATTTGGTCTCAGATTATTCTTTCTATAATTTCCCCAGAAAATAGATGCTCATGGTATTGCTGGCCTCTTAGAAAGATTGGAAAACACAGCATTTGGCAAGGGATAGAGTAAATTAAAAACAAAACAAAACTTCTAGTGATTTTTTAAAAATTAAAAATGAATCTTTACAATTTAAATTTGTTAATATTTTTCTTGAAATGTTTGTAGAAAAGGAGCCTTTAATGGTATTTCATTGTATTTATGGATATAAGCTAAAAGACCCAAACTAATGACCTACAGTATTTTCAAAAATGCAATGATTTAAGTAGGTCAGGGAATAAGCAGTCAAGATTTTTAGTATAATTAAAAAGCTGGTGATGGTTATCCTTGTAGCGCAATGTAGCAAATGATACTTTTTTAAAACCAAAATTAATGGAAATTGAGCTGGGTCAGCTGTCAACCAATTCTTAAGCTTGTACCTGCTTGCCTGGTATGTAACATCATTCCATTTCTTGATGAAAGCTATTGTAAAAAATTCTGATTAAATAATTGTTTTACATGGTGGGTATCTTCTAAAAATGAAGTCTGCATCTCTCTTGAAGAATTTCTCTTCCAGTTATATCAAACAAGAAGAATGTACTTCCGCTCTAAATTATTATAGAATCTTCCTGACAAGTGAGTAAGCAGAGATTTAAATAATTAAAGCGAAACTTTCTTACCAGTGGTTAGGTTTAAAGCACCGTAAGGTCAGTTAGATTTGCCCTCGTAGGGAACATCCTATGATATAGCTTTTACAAAGAATCACCCCTTGGGAATGAACTATTGCTCTGAGTCAAACCTTAAAGCTTCCTCTGTTATTCTTTCAGTGGTATTTGCTGCAATTCAGGGCATAGCATGGTCTGCCTGTACGTTTCTTGTCAGGGAGTGCAGTCTGTAGGGTCGGGATGAAAATCAGGAATTCTCCCTCTCCGTGTCTGATTTTAGTAAAAGAAAGACTTCTAGGCCTGTCTCTGACTTTGGCTTAACTGCCTATCTGTGTTTCTTCAGTCCTGTTTGGGTTTAGAATGCATAGGTTTGCTATAATGTCAGGATTGGTTATAGAAGGTAACATTTTAAATTGTAAAATGTATTCTCTAGTTATCGATCACAAAGACCTTGGGGTGGTGATACTGAGTCTAGCACCTCTATGATGGACTGAAGCGCAGCCTTCTGTCTTTTGATACAATTTGTTAATTGGAAAAGGTGCTACCAGACTCCTTCTGATGGTTTGATCTTTTTAAAAAAGCTTTCAGAATAAAAGGACTCAGCAATCTGCACCCCTAAGGCCTTAGGTGACCATGATCCGAAGTTCAAAAGGCCATGGGAAGTCATTAGTTTAGACCTCAACCTTGACGACTTTAAGATGTGTGGACTTGAACTCCCAGAATTCCGCAGCCAGCATGGACTCTGGGAGTTGAAGTCCACCCATCTTAAAATTGCCAAGGTTGAGAAACACTGGTGTAGACTTCTAGTAAGAGGACTCTGCCTTGACCTGATGTATGTAGTGAAGGAAAGAGACGGGTCAGAAAGGGATGGTAAGAAAGAGGGGTGGGAGAGAGAATGAATGGTTCTGCCCACTTTGTACACCTAGTTCTTAAGCATATTTACCAGTGACATGCAACACCTCTTATTCTCAAGGGAATGAATGGTGATGGTGATAAAAAGGTCTCTTACCTCTGGTTTATAGGGATGGGAGCAAGCTAGCAAATTGGATCATGGTATAAAGTGCCTGTACTGCAGTCTGTGGAATCTTCCCCTGTGGTCCAAGTAGATGTGCACATCGTTTAGAAGATCTAGGTCCCCTTCCTCAGCCTCTTTTAGGGCTTCCAGATGTTTTAGGGCCACTCTTCTCAGAATTCCAACCAACTTGGCCGTTGGTTTTTAGCCATCTTAGAATGCTGAGAATTCCAACAAATCGGGCAAGTGATAGCTTGGAATACCAACCATGTTTACTTCAAGGGCTCAAATCTTCCCCCTTCCACATGTACAAGTGTGCCCAGAGCCAGATAGAGCTATTCCTTCCATGGGATAATTTATGGTTAACCATGTTCTAAACAATTTACAACCTTTGGGAATTCCCGTTGTGTAATTTCTGGGAGACAACTGAAATAGCTTACCGTTCACTATTTTTATCCTCACGACTTGTGTGGGATTAAGAATTGATTTCCTTCCTAGTAAGAATAACATTTTCCTGTGAAGTTTTTTTTTTCTTCCACATTGGGAGAAATTAGTAATGCAATCGGTTTTGACCAGGATCTGCTCAAGGTATCTGCCAGAGACTTCTTGGTGTATGATCCAAATCCGTGTATCTCCAGAACGCTACAACTAATTAATCTTTCTCTTTCTCTTTTACCCCATTGTTTTTAGGAGTTGGTGAGAGGCGTACAACTAGGAGTATTATATAAGGCTATCAGCTTAATAATGAATCTGGAGAAACCTTCTGTCTGGGGATCGCTGAAACAAAGAACAAAGCCTTTGTTACAAAACCTGAGCGTCAAAAGGACTAAAAAAAGCTCAACCAAACTGATAGAGAAAAGACAGAATCATCCTTTAGATCGGCGACTTAGTTCCTCGGTGCCTGATGTGCTGAACATAGAAACAAGTATTGAGGAAGAGACTCACTATTCACGGTCCAAAGCCATGTCTACTTACTTCCCGAGTGGCTTTTCTGCCACTGAGATATTTCTTCAAAACAGTAGTAACTCTTCCATGGTGCAGACGGAGGAAGAATGGCAATGGAGGAAAGAGGAGACCGTCCACTTGGAAATTGGGGTTCAGGAAACGGAAGGGTTAGTTGTTCGTGATCCAGATTTGGAGGCAAGGCGGAAATCCAGTGAAGATTTCTTTGAGTTGCTGCAAAGGAACAGTTTCAGCAGCGATGTTACGGAAGATGCACTTGAGGTAATGTGCTTTGGGGACAATTAAATCTGATATAGTTTCTTTCTAGCATGTTTCCAAAACCTTGGGCAATTTTAAAAATAGGGCAAATCAAAATGGGGGGGAAAAGAAACTTACATCCACAAAAAGCTATATATCAGTGGGGAATTGATGTACCTGGAGGCACAAGATTCGAGAAGGTAATCCAAGATTCCATGTAGTTGGTTTCTAAAAGCTGTCAAGTCTCCTTTGAGTCAAGCTCAATTTCTGGTCACTTCACATAATACATCCCTGTTGGTCTTTTCGATACAAGATGGAAGTGATTTGGCACTGCCTTAAAAAAAACAAAAAACTTCTCAGTCTAGTCTACAATCCAAGACTTTTTGGTGATTTCCCATCCAAATAACAATCAGCTTCAACACTACGTAGCTTTCTTGAAATCAGCCAAGGAACATGTCTATAAGTCAAGATCAACTCAAGGGCATCTTTACTGCAAATTGTATTTCTACTTTTAAAAATAAATGAATAGAGGAGATCATTGTCATTACATCTTTCTTCAACCTGTCACATCCCCCCCCCCAGATGAGTTTTAAGATTTGTAGTCCCAACATATCTGGCTGACTTTACTTATGGGAAATCTAGTGAAAACTTTCCACTTGAGCTGAACTATTACTTGATATAAAAAACGTGGTGCATGCTCAATCATATTTAGGAATCAAATTTAGAACATGGCAGGTTCTTGTAATCTCAGATTCATACAATCTTGTTGGCCATCTCCTGTTTAGACACAGCTTAATTTTCTCTTGCTAGATTCTCTGCTTTCAGTTTTGACTGATATGCTAGCTTATAATATATATATGTGTGTTTGTATGTGTATGTATACACACACACACACTCACACATTCTTCCTAGTGATGCTATCAAAAATAGATGAGTGTGTAGAATTGTTTGTTTTCCATTTGCATTCCAAAGAGACATGAGTTGGCTTAAAATTAAGTGTCAAACAGAATTGTAAAAGTAAGAGTTATTCATCTGAGTAAGCTCTGCTGAACACAAACTAGTAACAGTGTCTAACAATATTGAATAAAAAATAAGTTAAAAGCCATTTGAGGCAAGAGATGACTGTTGGAATGGGTAGCTAAGTATGTCAGGTGACCTTCTTATGTTCCGTTGGTGACTTCAAAGCTTTTGTCTTTTTTCAGTTGACTCATGCAATTTAACTAAAGCCAACCCTCCAGTTTTCTTCTCGGGGGTAGCTTGAACATGCCACCTTTCAGGCATCAGGACTATTTTTGGCAGCAGCAACATTGTACATGGATTTAAACTGAGATGGTTCAAGCCTTCTTCATCTCTGAAGAAGATGAAGACAACTTCTGAAAGATTTCTGAAACCCATGAGATTGAATAACCTCATCATCTTCCCCATAAATCTTGCAGATTTCTGCAATCATGCAAGGTCTCAGCCATGTCAAGAAATTGATTTATGTCAGTTTTGGGGGCACCGTTTAGGGACCCCTTCTCCTCTATCGCTACCAGGTATCGAATGCAATTTCTAGTGTTTTGCTGTTCCTCTTTCTCTGTCTTTAAGATTACTGTAGAGACTAATTTCTTTAGCCAGACCTTTAACAGTCAGTGATTTTATTATGCACGTATTAAGTCCCTTGTTTGGATTGCAACTTTTTGTTCACTCTGTAGTTTTCTTCCTCTGTGTTGCTTCAGATGGTAAGCCACTAGAAGTTTTCCTTTCAAAAAGACGGGTGGCATTTCCATAAACTAAAGGAATGAAATTAATAAACCTCAACATTGTGGTATGCAAACCTGATATGAAGGAAATCAACCCTGATTGCTCATTGGAAGGATCGATAATGAAGCTCAAGCTCAGATACTTTGGCCACCTCATGCGAAGAGAGGA